CGCCTTCGCAGCAGCGAGCAGAGATTAGAAGAATCTGAGACATCTTTAGATCAAAAAACACAAGCACAACAAGAAACAGAGAGACGCCTTTGTAGCTTAGAGCAGACATCACATGAATTAGAGACATCCTTGGCTACAGAAAGAGAAGCACATGAGGAAACTGTGAGATGTCTTCGTATAAATCAGCAGAGATTAGAAGAACTTGAGACATCTTTAGTTGAAGAAACACAAGCACACCAAGAAACAGAAAGTCGCCTCCAAAGCAGCGAGGAAAGATCACAAGAACTTGAAACTACGCTGACCACATTACGACAAACCTATGAAGCCTACCGCAGATCAAGAGAGTCGACACGGGATTGGGTCTTACGTAGGGATGAAGTAATACTGTCTGATAAAGTAATTGGTATCGGTGCATGGGGCGAAGTGAAAGAAGGAACATTTCGTGGATGTAAAGTTGCTGTGAAAAAAATTCATCAGCTTATTCTATCTGATCACAACAGAAGGCTGTTTGAACGGGAGATGAATATGGCTTCAAGGTGTCGTCATCCTTGTCTTCTTCAATTCATTGGTGCAACCAACGATGACCAAAGTCCTCTATTTGTGACTGAACTACTGGACACGAGTCTAAGAGCAGTTTTACATGAACGCCCAYTGGAACCTTCGGAGATCACGACGATTGCACAGGATGTTGCTAAAGCGTTAAATTACTTACATCTCAGCCAYCCTGCTCCAATCATTCATCGAGACATCAGCAGTGCTAATGTGTTGTTATGGAAACACGTCACAATTTGGCGAGCTAAAGTCTCTGATTATGGTACGGCCAACTWCCTGCAGCAGTCYATGACGGYTAGTCCTGGTGCTGTGATCTACTCTGCTCCTGAGGCACAGACGTCCAGACAATCACCAAAGGTAGAACCTGCATGTCGAGCTGTGCCGATATACACTTGAACCACATTAAAGTAAATGATATATATAATTTCTCTTATTTTCTACAGCTTGATGTGTACAGCTTTGGAGTTCTGCTGTGCGAGATGAACGTTCGTGAAATGCCTGACGTGGACCACAGAAACGAACAAGTTGCCATGGTGACCAACAGTATTTTCAGGAACCTGATCAGAAGATGTTTACAGCAGAATCCAGAAAAACGTCCCTCCATGGCAGAGATCATAGAGGCACTTGAAAACTCGCCACAGTAATTAAGGAATTGTCTTACTGCAGCCTCATTCATTGCTGTCCGCATAACAAATAGACATCAATTTTTTTTAATAATAATAATAATAATGATAATAATAATAATAATAAACTNGAAAACTTTAGATGAAGAAAGAAAGATACGCGAAGAAGCAGAGAGGCGCCTTCATGGCAGCGAGCAAAGATCACATGAACTCGAGTTGTCTTTGGCTACAGAAAGACGAGAAAAAGTAGAAACAGAGACACGCCTTCGTAGCTTAGAGCAGAGAGCACATGAATTGGAGACATCCTTGGCTACAGAGAGACAAGCACTCGAGGAAACAAAGAGACGCCTTCGCAGGAGCGAGCAGAGATTAGAAGAATCTGAGACATCTTTAGATCAAAAAACACAAGCACATCAAGAAACAGAGAGACGCCTTTGTAGCTTAGAGCAGACATCACATGAATTAGAGACATCCTTGGCTACAGAAAGAGAAGCACATGAGGAAACTGTGAGATGCCTTCGTTTAAATCAGCAGAGATTAGAAGAACTTGAGACATTTTTAGTTGAAGAAACACAAGCACACCAAGAAACAGAAAGTCACCTCCAAAGCAGCGAGGAAAGATCACAAGAACTTGAAACTACGCTGACCACATTACGACAAACCTATGAAGCCTACCGCAGATCAAGAGAGTCGACACGGGATTGGGTCTTACGTCGGGATGAAGTAATACTGTCTGATAAAGTAATTGGTATCGGTGCATGGGGCGAAGTGAAAGAAGGAACATTTCGTGGATGTAAAGTTGCTGTGAAAAACATTCATCAGCTTATTCTATCTGATCACAACAGAAGGCTGTTTGAACGGGAGATGAATGTGGCTTCAAGATGTCGTCATCCTTGTCTTCTTCAGTTCATTGGTTCAACCAACGATGACCAAAGTCCTCTATTTGTGACTGAACTACTGGACACTAGTCTAAGAGCAGTTTTACATGATCGTGCATTAGAACCTCCTGAGATCACGACCATAGCTCTGGATGTTGCCAAAGAGCTAAACTACTTACATCTCAGCCACCCTGCTCCAATCATTCATCGAGACATCAGCAGTGCTAATGTGTTGTTATGGAAACACGTCACAATTTGGCGAGCCAAAGTCTCTGATTATGGTACGGCCAACTTCCTGCAGCAGTCCATGACGGTTAGTCCTGGTGCTGTGATYTACTCTGCTCCTGAGGCACAGACGTCCAGACAATCACMWAAGGTAGAACCTGCATGTCGAGCTGTGCCGATATACACTTGAACCACATTAAAGTAAATGATATATATAATTTCTCTTATTTTCTACAGCTTGATGTGTACAGCTTTGGAGTTCTGCTGTGCGAGATGAACGTTCGTGAAATGCCTGACGTGGACCACAGAAACGAACAAGTTGCCATGGTGACCAACAGTATTTTCAGGAACCTGATCAGAAGATGTATACAGCAGAACCCAGAAGAACGTCCCTCCATGGCAGAGATCATAGAGGCACTTGAAAACTCRCCACAGTAATTAAGGAATTGTCTTACTGCAGCCTCATTCATTGCTGTCCGCATAACAAATAGACATCAATTTTTTTTAGTGTCTGTCCTCTTATTGACGATAAATTGTGTCATCCCATTGTGGATGTGGATCCACGAGGTGTTAATAAGAGGACACACATATAAAAAACGTTTTTAGTGATCAAAACAACCAATGAAAAGAGCGCGCGCTCGCTTACGTCAGTTTCCTCTATCTGTCCTCTTATTGATGATAAAAAGTAGACAATCAGAGCACTAAAAAATTGTAAGTCATTGTAAAAACTTCGTTTGACGTCATTTATTGCTGAAAACATGTTTYTTATGCAATCTAGTAGACCTATTAGTGAGGATTTCCTATTATCATATGACCCGTACGGCCAATCTCGCGCGCCATAGTAAACCCTTTGGGAAAATTCACGCGATATAGAGGCCGGAGGGGCTGACGTGAGCGGGACGGGGAAAACGTACCCGTCCTGCCCTTCTCTTTTACGCGCGCTGAATTGCAAATAATGTGCTAATCCTCTGGCAAATACTCGTACCTTTTCGTCACCCCTCTAGTATTTTCATTCCTTAGTTCATTCATTTAAGGAATATCCTATAAAGTCTTATGACGCGAACACGCCTTATAATCTTTATTATATATCAGTCGTGTTACTGTCATTCATTATATTTAGCTCTAGCTATGTGTAATCATTAGATTTATATACCAATATACCAATCTGAATGTTGAGCCTAAGAATGCACACATTTGATTAACCAATTTTAGTTTAGAGATTCTACACGATATCTTTGATTGACAACTGTCATGAAACCATTATAAATATAACTAGCCGTATTCCAGTGTAACTATCAGTTATTAGATAAAGAGAAATAAAGTATAAATCCTGGTACAGCCTACTGAGAGCGGTCCCTTTAACACTACCCTTGYAAACACGTTACTTTCTGGCTATAGACCTGCTCGGCTCGGGCGTACCGTTTTTCCATTTCGGTACACGTGTCATTCCCTTGAGAATAAGATTCTTTGTTTGAATTATATTCATATCATTTGTCTTCTCGTGAACAGCCTTGTAAACTACTTCCTGGCTATTCTAGTGAGGAAGTAAAAAGTGAGAAAGAGAGAAATTCGCACAGCATTTTGATAGTAGCCTTGTAAACACTACTTCCTGGCTATCTAGTTCTACGTTGTTAAACAAAGCAAAGATAGGAAAAATAATATAATTCTTCCTACATACCCCAAACCCCCCTCCGATAAATAATGAAGGGTTCCTAGGAATCAGTAGATTATTTTTATTTCGTTGGAATTCCATAAATAAAGATTATTCGTGGCAAATGTCACGCTCCAACTATATATGGATGCAACTCATTTACATATTTTTCTAAACTTGCAGTATTTAGAGTGAAACGCTTGAATGATAACTACAAACAAGGAGTTCTAAAACACTTTCTTTCAAAGAAAATGAGCTGAAGTTGGGTGACAAAACAAAATTGAGGAAAACAAGAAATATATCTTTCAAACTAAAGTTTAGTAGTTGTTGAACAAGCTGCCAGAGATCACACGATTATCAGAAACTTGGATAGCATAAAAAGTAGTTGGTAGTTAACAGACAAACGTGTACCCCCCCCCCCCCCCCCTTTCCAAATCTACAACCCCAAACAATACTGCTATAGCAATAAGCTCCTAAGTTATGGGCTACCTGTGGTTTGTAAAGCTCTGCCTTAATAAGATAAATTTCTTAGACCATCCATGGAATGCACCCTAATCTAACATTCATTAAAGTCCTCAATAATATTAAACAACCATTTGTCCATGATGTGAAACTGAGATCATGTGCTACTTAAAGTGCCGAATACTGACAAAGAATTCAGCGCTTGGTTTTATTCGAGTCCTGTCTGGCATAAAGGTATACATTGTTAAACGAAGCAAAAATAAGAAAAATATATCCCAGTAGATTAATGTTTTAATGTTTTGTAAGTTTTTAAAGTTTTTATACTCACTTATTTTTGAGAGAAAATAGCTTGAAAAACATGAAGGGCTTCCTGTGGTATAACAAAATTGAAGGCGGAAGTACAAAATCGAGGCTGGCTGGGGAATACCCTAATTTATATTTCAGAAGTGAAACATTTAGAGACGCCATTTTGAAAGCTGTTTTTACTTCCGAGTGTAAAGCCTTCATTATGAGTCGGTTAGGAAGTGAATCAACTAAATATATTCTGTTGAGACATATGATGTTGGGTCTGGAAATGCAATTATGTGAAAGAGGTCAAATATTTGTCGAAGGTTTACATGCTTCAGAAGTTAATTTACCAAGTGGTTTTATAGCTCTTTACGATGAAAGCAGTGAGCAGCAGGTAGGGGGACTCGCGATCGATGCCAAAGATTCACGGGTTTAACTCGCGGATTTACGAAGACGGGTACAGCAGATTTACCGCAAACGGAGGTTAAAATATTCCTTAGATATACATGGCCACCATCAACGACATTCAAAACAAAACTGTGCGCAGGCTCCGAAATCAGGTGATGGATAACTCAGACGCTGACTTTGTCTTCGCTACATTTATGGAGGGAAAGACAGACAAAACTATGAATCACAAAATGGC